CCCGAGGCACGCGAATCGCGCGCTCGTCACACCATTAGCATCGCGTATTGAGCGCACAAAAATTGATGATCGACGACGCGATTGTTAGGCGTGCGAGGGACGCGATTCGCTTCCTTCACTTCTTGCCTGCACATCCGAGAGGACACGTATCGAGCGCGAGCGCTCCGTGAGCGCCGGGTAAAAAGAGATCGTTATCGTTAGCGATAAGCGGCGGAAGTAATTGCACACTCGAAAGCTCGAAAGCGATTTTAGATCAGCTGTTTGTGGCTGACAGTTATTTCGCAGGGAGCCGACGAGCGTAAACCGATAGATAAATGCGCGAAATAAATTCTCTCGGACGTTCACGAAAAAGAACTACCTCCATCGTAGAGTAAACCTCAAGATTTGTAGGTCTTCCCACCTCGTATACGCTCGAGTTTATCGTTATCGCACCCTTTTATCGCTCAAAGGCAATAATCGAATGTTTCGCAAATAATTATTAAACCGTGATCCGTTTTTATCGGATAAAAATGTTTCGAAACTGATTAACACACTTTGTCAATTAATATTGGTAGCTTGAAATTAAAATAGCTGTTTTTTTATTTTTAAATAAAAAATAAAACTGTGCACCGCAAGGTATTAATGGATAAATTGCTAAAAATATTAGCCAAGAATTACTCCCGCGGGGTTTTTCACACGATTAAAATTACCTCTAGAGAGAAACTCGTGTGCCATACATTTTTGTAGAAAAAAAATAAAGCAATTAACAACGCAGCCGAGTTTATGTTAGTTTCAGCGATAAAATGAAATTCCTCCATTTAGGACTGCATGGTTGCATAATCAAGGTAACGATGTTTCTCTAATGGGAAGTTTGATTTCCTTGAGGGTAGTAACAAGGTCTGGGGTGGATCAATGACGGGGAACATCCTTGCGTGATGTCAAGAAAGAAATGAGAGCGACAAGCTATTCGCGAAACATTGTCGTTGTAAAAACGTTGTGACAGAGATGCTCGAAGATGAAATTGCGGTTCCAAATAGCTGAGCACCCAGATAAGCACTTTAGCTTTCAACTGAAATTTAATACGCGCTTCGCACACGCGTGTAAAATGCGCTCCCGCTTTTATCCTTTCTCTTTGCGCACAATTTTTGCTCACTTTGTAAGCTTTACTGTATACATAAACATAAACGTCGATAAAATTACCGCCAACTTGCACGGTCGATCCGCCAAGCTTTGCACAACGTAGTAAAACAACCGGAAGGTGCATAACTGAAGAAAAAAATTCATTGCTCGTCGCGAAAGTGCCGGGGCATTCCTTGAATTCCCACTTGCTTCGTCGAGTGGTAACCTAGGGAAACCGTGTCGCGCAAAATCGCTCAATAGTTGAAGTATTCCCTGCTTTTCCAAACAAAAAAAAAAAAAAAAAATTCATTTTCCAATACTGTCACGTTTCGTCCTTGCACCTGTAATTTTTGCATTTGCTTGAGCTTACAGAATTTCATGAATTAATAATGCATGATTAAACCAGATCACGTCCTTCGAGTCAGATCGATGAAGACGCGTTATCCTATTTGTGAAAAATCAAGGATGCCAGTAATGGACTTGAGACTTCTGAGAACATTTAATGAAATCTGGAAGATCTTTGTATAAAAGACGCTAAGATCAATCTTTATTATATCCACTCGCTTGACGGAACAAATGAAGCAAAATGATGAACAGGAACATTGATTGAAATCTCTCGCGATTTCCACGGAAAAATCGCGCCGCGTGAATTAATTGCCTAAGAACGTGACGGAACATCATGCCGATATATCAATGATATAACATCGATTGATCAGTGAGGACACGCAAAAGTTTAATTTGACGCGATTTAACCGATTAATTAGACGAAATTGGAAGTATCGATCGATATTTGTGTGCATCATTCTATCAGAGCGTGAAATATTAAAAATGTATATTAGGCGCCGCAATCTCGAACATGCAGCGCGAAAATAGAAACGCTAATCGATACTTGTCGCTCTGGACGTGTCTGTGGAAGGTGAAATGTTCGGAATAAATGTAGGTGAACTGTGGCTAACACGGCGGCCATTTCTAATATACGGGATGTATCAGAAGCCGCGCCCTTTCTCCAGTCAGTTGCGGGTTTTCCGGACAATTTAGGGTCGCTTCCCTTAGGAAAATTTATTGGAGGCTTATATAAGCTTATGTCTTACAGCAAGTAATTTGTGTCCGCGTCATTATATTTCATTATTCATTATTTATAGTCGGATTTTTTTAGGTCTTTATTATTCCACGAAAGAGACATTTATTAAACTCGACGTGTCTTTGAATTTAAGTTTTACATAAAAACCCGACTGGCAGGAAAATGATTTTAATCACTCTTGTTCGAAGATATCTCAAAACCGGCGGAAGACAGTGCAACGAAAGAGGAGTCCTCGGACAAGGAGAAAGAAAAAGAGGACGTAGAGGACGAAAAGGAGAAGGAAGAGGCGGCGGCCACGAAAATACAAGCGGTATTCCGCGGCCATCACGCCAGGAAAAGTCTAAAAGTGTCGGAAACAACGTCGGGGCCAACGAAAACCGAGGAGGCGCCCTCGGAACCGACGGAGGCACAGCTGCAGGAGGAATTCCCTCCCGGCGATAAGGGTGAGCTGACTGTACGCTTGGAAATGAGAATTTCCGAGTCTCGGCGAGAGATCGTTTCTGAAACGGCTTTCTGTTCCGTAGAGCTCTGTCACGCGGTGACGAAGATACAGGCGACCTTCCGGGGCCACATGTCGAGAAAGGAACAGACCACTGCGGCTGTCAAGTCGGCGGTCGAGAGCGCGACTGCCAAGATAGAAGAAAAGGTAAGTTAATTCGTCAATCTCTCGTACTGGATGTATAGACTCGCTAACTATTGATCAAAGAGCGCGTTAGATAGGCGGCAAACTGTTCTATCTAGCATCCGCGTACGGCCCTCTCCGCAGAGCTTAATACGAGCTATTGACCCTCCGCGGAACCTCACCTGACCTGACGCTATACCCGATTGTCTAGGAAAATGTTATACCCGGTTATTCTCCGTTGTCCATTATGCAATAAACCACTGCGTCTGATTGAGTCAATTTACCGAGATTAACAGAGTTGCGTTTGCCAGAATATATATATATATTTCGACGTTACGAAATTTTCTCAGCAATTTTACGCAGTGCAAATTAATTAGTCCCCTCTAATGAGAATTAAGTTTCTAAGAAAACTTTATCACAAAGACACATAGTGTCTCGGTTCGCCGGCGGAACAAACGATTACGGGACTGGTGGAGCAAACACAACTAATTATGATAGAGTAAAGTGCCCCTGTAGAGTAGTAACCCCTCCTGCTGCTGATTTAAGCCCCCTAAGTGTTGCGAGAGGTCATTTCGTTGATAGGCTATTTTATTAATGCATAATGAATCAGTTTCATATTTTCCCCGCTGCAGCGCGCTTATGAGATAATGTGAGCTCGTAGCCTCAGCGAATTCATTAATTACGGTGGCACATTTTTTTTTCCAAATTATCTTTCTGAAAAGCGCGCGTCACGATCGCCGGTTTGCATTGCCCGCATTGCGTATTATTATTTAAAAAACGCTAAGCGTCTTGTCTTTTTTTAAATACGTTGTAATCAAAGTTATTTTTTTTCTTTTTTTTTTCTTTATCCGATACACCGATGTTCGATCCGATCGATGAAGCAGTAGTGACAGGTTTTGATGCACAAGGTCGCCGTGATCGATCATTTCTGTGCCGAGGTTCGTGAGAGAAGGCTATTGTTAGATCCTTTGACATTATGCTGATCCACACTCGGCGAGTAATCGACAGCTGCCTTCCAAGCTGAAGATGATCATCTGCGTACCGAAGCGCTACTAAAGCTCGTCCCGAGACCAGTAGACCGGCATGGCCTACAAAGTTTAAGTTACTTTCGTGTCGTATCGATTAATTACGTACGGGCTAGTTGATGCACAGCGGGATCACGTGCAGTCTAAGTTTCTCATTTAGGGCATAATTTTGGCAGCGCGACGCCGGCCGTGCGGATTCCGTTTAGAAAATTGTACTTTTCGTCGAGGAAAAAAATTTAGAATGACTTTAAGAAACGACTACCACGCTCCACGTTTCACGGCTCTTTTCTCAAACTCTGCTGCAGATGCAAGACGCTGTGCAGGAGTTAGAAGGGATCGATTTGGCCGATCCGGACTTGCATAAAGCAGCGACTAAGATCCAAGCGAGTTTCCGCGGTCACAAGGTCCGTCAGGAGGTCAACATTCATACTACTGCCGACGAAACTAAAAAATAAGACGCTTACTCGAACGCAGGGATGTCGGGAGATAGATTACTACCTATTACAGCCAGTGCCATTCTTAACAGGTTGAACGCCATCCCCTATTTCTTGTACCTTATAATATAGCATTCGCGAATTAGTAAGTTATGTGCGTAAATATACGAGACATTCCAGTAAGACCGAACAACGGACAACTCTGATTATTAGTTCGCTTCGGACCGCAAATTGTAAACAACGATACCGTTTATTTTACGTTGATAATTAATCCAGCCTTCGCCCGGGACCAGTGAGACTTTAAACGCTTTCTACTTTGGCTAGAACGAGGACCTTTCGGACAAAGTATATTACAGGCCGAGGCATACACACGTGGGAACATTTAAATATTTCTCTATTGTTTATGAAAGAAAAAAGGTATGAGAAAAAAATTTTTCTGGAACGAAGCTGCATTGTGTAAAGGGAAGGAATATAATGGTGAATAAAAGAAAATTGTTCCTTAAGCCGATTCCTATAGATCGATTTTGAGTACATTTCACACGATTCGCTACACCACACACACACACACACACACACACCCACACCCACACCCACACACGTACACGCGATTCGCTGACCATTCTCGACCTATTCTTGTACTATCGACTTGTACCTACAATTTTTATGAGTTACGACTGCCACAGTGCAGATAGGCGGATTTTTTAAAGGCAGCCTTCTCCTAAAGGTGGTATAATATAAGTTACATAAAGCCAATGATAAGGAGGAAAAAAAATTAGAAAGACGTAGAGGAGGAAAAGAGAAAAGAAAAAAAAATTCCCCTCTCTCTCTATAATTACCCGATATAAATTGTGATCTATGAGAACAAGTGTGCGCGATTCTCCTACCTGGTAGGTATATTAAGCGGCACACGGCAAACAATAGAATATAACTTTGACGTCCTGCGCATGTTAAACGGAGCATACATTAAGATATGTACCAATACAAATAATGTGCATGTTAACTTTTATAAGTTCCTGTATTTATGTAAAATAAACGGTATGGTTGTAGTTTCCAATTTTAAAATCCAATTTTAAAATTAAACATGAACGATGAAAGTCTGTTTTTCGAATACTCTTTATAATGACACACAGATATACACACGACATTTTTAATTTTTCTTTCAACGTTCCTGAGTTATTGAATAGCGTTGAAACGGAATGTGATAATTCAAGCATTTCTTCATTGCACTTTCTACATTTTTCCAACATTTTCTTCTTTGCTCTCTTTTTCTGTCTTTCTCTCCTTCCAAAGTTAAATGTATATCCGTTTCATTTTTAATGTGGAAAGTGTAAAAATGTGTACGATTGTTTCCGTCTCTCTCTTTCTCTTTCTCTATCTCTCTCTCTCTCTCTCACTCTCTCTCTCTCTCCCTCTCTCTCCCCCTTGAAAGTTTGGAAAGAAAGCATTAATCCTAAGCCGAAGTGAATTAGAGATTAGTCTTTCTTCTTCGTCATAGTATTCAACCTGTTAACTTTAGAAGGACTGTAAATTTAGGAAAATCTTTCCCATTCCGTGGGTATAAAAAGGGCTAAGACATTCCAAACTTTCAAATAATTTTGCAAATGTTGGAAGGCGAAAAAAGTTTCATTGTACTTTACGTTACTAATGCAGTAGAATCTCTATTTAACGAAGAGTAATATGGAATATTTGAACTTTAAAGTAAAACTTAGATCATTATAGATATATTAATCTATGAAAACTTCTTAAGATTCTTCGATATCATTTGTCCTGTTCAGACGACTTTTCTCAGATGCTTTGCACGCGTCGAAAAACATCTAAAATAATGTACTTAAAAAATCGCATGTACGACTCACCGGCCTATTGCCAATAATGCATTAATTAAAGTAAACATTAAAACAAGGTTCTACTGCATCGTTTGAAAACGTGCGTAATATACAGGATTTATGGCTGCTTAAAAGAGATAAGCTGAAAGAGGCCCGTCGAAATAACGAGTTCGGTCCTTCCAGTAATGATATCTACGAGCTTACTTGCTCAAAATCTTCATGTATGAATGTTAAAACTCCGTTATAATTTCTACGCTTCTGTATTAATGTTTAATTTCGCGTAATAACGGATTCTTTTCGGAATATCGATAGCCACCTCCAACTTTGTTGCGATCTAGTTCATTTTGCATGTGAATTAGCATATCGATGTACCTTGAAATGGAAATTTATTTTACCAGGCCTAAAAAAAGTTCACTTATGTACGCCATATCGACCAGATCTTGTGTGTGATTACAGCAACAATCGATCAGTAAACGATTTGAAAGTGCGTAAATGCGCGAAACAGCGAGCCAGAACAATTTTGCTGAACTGAACTGTCGTTCGAACAATCGTTTACTCTTCAACGCCAGCTTTATTCGTCCACAAAGCAGGGTGCTGCGAATTTGTTACGTTTCACTTCCTCATGTTCGTCCACGTGTTTTTCTACTGAGCGATTATTATTTCCATCTCTTCTATACTTGTAATTTATACCGATATTTATACCGATTTGCTGAAGACACCGGCGAGTTGCGTATCGAACAATATTACGCGACATTCCTGTATTAACACGTTCAACATTGACCGTGAGCAATAATTGCACGCATTTATTGTGATAAAATTATGTAGTCTACTCGTTAAACAAATAAACGTGTTGAGATAATATTGCAATGTGAGCAACCTCCTCAAATATAATATGTTCTGTTTCACGCAATATTTCCGCGCGATTCGTATTGATTGCAATAGAGTACGTGCAGCTATTGTTCAGCAAGCAGACATAAAACAGATACGTGCATTCGAACACCATTATTCAATTCCCAATATGCAATATTTTATTTTCAATTCCTAAATTTTATATCCCGCATATCCCAACTCTTAGCTTTTAAAATCAAGTTTTTGAATCCACAGTAGCGGCTCCAAATTTCCAATTAGAAATTGTATACGAGTTTTCGATTTCCACTTCGTAATTACATCTACCCGGATTTTTACTACCCTGTTTCTAATTCTTCATTTGTAAACATATACTGTCTTGGATGACACGATTTACGTATTACTCATAAGTTACTTGCGATTGTCGCTTGTAGAAAATTAAAGCGAAGCTTTGGTATCGCTGAAAATGATCTATCATCGAGTAACGTTGTCTCGGTTTACGTCGGGGTGAGCATCGTGAGTGTGACGAATATTTGTTGTATCGAATTAATATAGAAAGGAACGTTGCGACGAATAATAGACATTCTTGTCGATACGTTACTTTGTCACGTATGAATAGTTTTAGCGGTGCACAAGACAAGTTGTGGTAAAATATATTGTAAGAATGTAATAAAAAAAAACGACTGGTGTATTGCTGAAACGAGCGGTACGCTACATGTAATCCATTTGTTTAAAATACATACCTGCTAAATGTACGAACTAAAATTTTAATACCAGGATGTCATCGTTGCAAACACCATTAATTGGCTTTAATCCGGATACGGTGACGGAATAACATATATTCGTATTACGAAAGATTCCATTAAAATGTCTGATAGCGTAATAACAATTTATCTTTCTTTTTACCGTCAGCGACGGCAGCTTTTTACGCTGTGTCATAAAATTAAATTGCACATCAAACCTTAAATTAAAAGTAATTTAGATTTTCTGATAAATATGTAACTTTTATGAAACTTTTTACGAAAGAATTGCCCGAAAGTCGCTAAACTAATTTAATCTAAACTTGTCCAAGTGAAGTTTTTCGCATATAATTATCCATTCATTTTTATCATCTAATGTGCATTTAAAGAAAATAATGAGGACTAATATAGTTATCTTTCTTATTACCAGATGTCACTCCACAGTTCTCTCTTGCCTGTTCATTGTATTGTTTACACCAGCTGCGTTTGTCACGATGATTTGTTCCTAACCTTGTTCAGTGTGTTCATTCGACTATTGCAGCACAGCACAATTTATTAATGGCATTCTCACTACGCTAGTCAAGTACGTCAATGGGCAAGATATATTATTGCGACTATTGCGACAGATCTTTTAAGGACGATGTCGAGGCTCGTAAAAAACATCTGTCCAGCCTGCAGCACGCGAAAAATCGAACGGATCACTATAATATGTTCAAGGGTAAGTTCTAAATAATGTTTTCTTATTGAATATTTTTATTCTCGTGCTTAATTTCTCTTGTGCCTGTTTATAACCTCTCTCGCAACTCCTAAGTTGTGTAAATCAATAAATATATTCATAATCGTAGACCCAGAGACGATATTAAAAGAAGAATGTAGTAAAATTCCTTGTAAACGCTATATGACCGTCGGAGATTGCGCTTTCGGCACGAGCTGTCGATTTTCACATTACACGCCGCCAATGATATGGGAACTTCAACGACTCGGTAATCATTCCACTGACCATTTCGTCATTATCGCAGAGAAAACACGTTAACCTACAGCAGATAAAATTTTTACTTGCAGCTGCAATGAAAAACTTTAAGAATTCGACAAATCAGCCCAAGGATGGCTGGCCAAATCCAGAAGACATTGTCAAGGAGTATTTCGAGAATGTGACAGATTTGAGCGGCACCGAGGATCGTAATTCAGCGTGGAACATGCCATCGAGATTGGTCAATTATTCTTATCTACCACCGTCCTTGCAACCTGTTACTTCAGAAAGCATGGCAGACTGTAATTTTAACAAATGGGGCTGAACTTTATTTACTTAAAAAATAAAACGAAAAAATAATTTACAATTTTATCGCACTTTGTCAATTTTGTTGGATGTAGACAGCAAATTTCCCGCCAAACCGAACGACGCTCGCTACCATCGGAACAAAGTCTCCTCCGTTCTCCCTTCCCATGTCGTTTACACCAATCGCCAAGCGAATCCGCCTTTACACAGCGATGTTGCTATGGAACACAGTGGCAGAGTGCCCGTTGCCACGACAGTATAGCGTAAGGCGGCACGTGACGCGACGCAACGCGACGCGACGTGCTACGTCTGTCGAATTGTCGGTTTTCCCGAAAAAAAAAGAGCTCCTTTCTCGCGGGGAGACAAAAAAGTACGAGCCGACCTCGCGGGTGTGCGTTCACGCGGAAAAATAATGAGTGTTCGCGAGCGTCGGTCACTCGGATCACTTATGAAAGCTTGGTGGACGCGTTAAAAAAATCAGAGTGCCACCTGGAGGGGCCTTCGCCGATTTAGCGGGATTGGAATTCGAGTCTGGACCCTTCCAGGTCGCATCGGTGAGTAAGCTCTTGATAAATTCCTTTCCACTGCGGCGTAAGCGCATACGAACGATCAAGATCGTAGGAGTCCATAAATCAAAGCGTGAGAAAAAAAAGCTGTTAAACGTACTTGGAAAATACGACTGTGTTAAGTGCTCAAAATGAATCGTACAATTCTGTCTCTGTATGTTAAACTGTAAAAATTTGAAAAGACAATAAGATAATATTCTATAAAGAGTTTTGAACTCATTTATTCATAAATTTTAAATAAGAACGTTATTTAAATAAGTTTTAAATTAAATAAGAACATTATTAAATTTAAATAATTCTATAATTCTTATTTTAAAAAATTTTAAATAAATTTTAAATAAAAATTATAGAGAGAATTATTTCAATTCACCAATGTAATATTCAGAATAAAAATAAAAAGATAAAATCTTATTCTTTATATAATGTTGCATAGGCTGCAATTTAACGATCTATAATTCAAGAACTAATTACAGAGCATGTAAAGAATATAAGTTTACAATTCCGATATTTAGGCGAATACTTTGTATAGTGTGGAAACTGAAAGTTTCCCGCACGCTATCAACTCATTGCAATGTACGCTCCGTTTGTCGCATACGTGACATCACGTTCTGAATAAAAAATTTCTGGTTGTTGGATAGGCCAAGGACGAACTCGCCCGGCCACCATTGTTACTATAGATATAATTTCCGCTATTTAGAAAGTTGATTACGAAGCGAGAAATTTTATTTAATACAGTGAAAATTTCTGTGCAAGTCTCAACTCACACATATGTATTTCTATGTGAAACTAAAATGACAAATGCGCAGGATTTCCGATCACTTATATTTTGGTCGACGCCGACAATGCCGAGACGAACATAGCATGAAATAGAATATTGCCTTACATCCTGTGCTCGACAAATGGAATGCACATTGAAGCGTGGAAAATTTAAATCGACTTTCTTGTCTATAAAGAGTATCTCGGAATTATCAATCGATTTGATCTGGAAACTCTTTTGCCGGGGCTAAATTGATTTTTGCTTGTAAAATAAACGATTTATAATTAGTTGCTGTATTAATTTTATTTGCTCGCTCAATTTATTCTAAATTTATTGAGACAAACCACTCTCAACTCTTTTTCGACTATGCCTGAAAACCCATGAAATAGACGAAAGATAAACGGGGCAAGGATGGTAAGCGCGGCGTGACGACGTGATGATGGCAACGACCTGACGAGCTCTGTGCACAATCCAGTCACGATTCTCGGTGGAGGTCGTGACCTTGCCAATATGCAAGGATATGGAGAACACGGAGAATATTGCCGATAATCCTGTGTTCGTCAGGAATTTCGATTGAGTTAATATCAGAAAGCATTCGTTAGACAATCTCGCGAGCAGACACAAGTGCATTAGACATAGAAAGCATCAGAAATTTATCTTGGTTGAATTGAAGAAATAAATAAGAGAGATAAAAGATTTGTTATCAATTGATTTCGTGGATTGAGAATCCAATTTCTTAAGAGATAATTTGTTGTTTTATCAATTTCAAGACACTTAACGAAAATACTATTCCAAGATGAATTTCGTCTCGCTAACGGAACAAAACTCGTTACAAACTGATGAGCGCAACCCTGGATCGATTTGATGAGTCGTTCTCGTCCATTGTTGCACCCTACGAGTCGTCTGTGCGAAGCAGCTGCCTATAGTTTGCGGAGCGTATGTCCCTACAACGTCGAACAATGTCTCCAACAATGCATCGCGAAGCGTGCACGCGGCCGCCCTGAAATAAATCTCCCTTTTCGCAGATTTCACCATTCAAGGGACAATTGAGTTTGCGTTCTCGGGTTTACCGCGAAAAACTACAGCGGGATGTATTACGTATCGCACGAAGTATGCCGCATGTAAAATAAACGGAAAGTAATCTGCGCTGTGAGCAGTTGCTTACGTTTCTAATTCTAAACCAGCTGTCATTTAAGTCTGTGTAAATACGCGAGCTTCGTCTCGATCTCGTCTTCGCCAATGTTGCCAGTGGAACTCGTTAAAAAAAAAAAAAAACCACCTAACAATTTAATGTCATTTGTTTCTATTGACTTTATGCGGGCCCGTTACGTCACGTCGATTTCTCCGCCCTTCATCGCTATTTCTCGTCGCGACAACGCGAGGCGAACTTCTCATTTTCACCGCACGAAAAAAATTTCTCCGACGACCGCGCGTTGTCAAGTATTTCGGGCATAAAGGAAGGAATGAGAAATGCGAACAGAAATGGATCGATAATCGACGTAGCGAACGAGTTACGAATACCAAGTCGGCAAACTTGTTACGCGTTGTTAAACACGCCTCGCCGTGTTTTTTCAAAAGACTCGTGACGCCGGTAGATCGACCTTGAGAATAAAGACCGTCTAAACTTATGATTTAATGCATTATATGCTCGTTTCACGATTCGCCTTCCTGCGCGACTTTTGTTTTGATCGCTGTGCCGCGTAATATCGCGGATAGGCGGGACTTTCCTCGCTAGTTTTATCTAATATTCTAATAACCGATCTAATGCGTATGATTTAAATTTCCGAGAGGCGTGGTGTAATCGGCATCGATTATAAAGCGCGTGCAGCGCAGAACGTGTATTCCATCTCTGCCCACGTAATTTCTTTGGTAGAAACGTGTGGGAATTTGTTTGGGTGTTGGAAAGTTGGGAAAAAAAGAGCCTACGCGCGCTTCTCGTCTTTGCGTAGGCGCAATTTTTAGAAAGAGGGAGAAAGACAAGAGAAATAATTCGAAGGAGAGAAGTGCGATAAAAGTTGACAAAATAAGACGCTTGCGCAAAATGTAAACAGAGATGCAATGATACAGATCTAACGTAATAGATGTTTACTGTCACTGTCTGAAAGCTATTCACACTCTCTATTACATCGTCTGCGAAGCAAGTGAGAGTGATTACTTCGCACTATATTACTATTCCGTAATTCCACGGTATTCGATAGACATCCCGCACGCCATACATCAGCGTTAGTGCGGCCGACGGGAAGCTGCTTAAAGGGTCCGCGTATATGAAGCGGTAAAAAAATAAAGATGAAGAAACAGACGGAGAGGAAGATGCGGTTGCCAGGCAGATGTCGCCGGCAGACGAGCGTGACCAGTGATTCGTGAAACGTTCGCACGCACGATCGTCAACGATAGCTATGATATTATGTCGCCTCGTTTCGGTTTCTCTTATCTCGGGATATAGCATTCCGTGGCGCCGGTCGAGGAGGGCGCCTCCCCCCGCCACACTAGATCGCTTTCCTTTTCGTCGTGAATGTTAGACGCGCGTCAGATTTTACACACTTACACACTCAATTGCCTTAGATTCAGACAATTACCCACGCCTCTAGATCGGTATGGAATGACCGGCAGTTAACGGACGAGCTGCCTTCGTTCAATGACAAACTCGTCGGTTCGATCCGTATCGGGTGATGGCCGTTTACAGCGAAACCGATTACGCCTCTCGTAGCTGCCGCCCCCCCTCCGCGTCGCGATACAGATCGACAAATACCGGCGATATTTTTCGTCCGCTCTCATCCGCATGCAATTTCTTCGGATCGTAATCGCGGCAAATTATTCACGAAATTGAATCCTTTATAGCGCGATATGAGTGCCGTCGGGATGCTCCGTGCCGCGAAGCTCGCACGTACGCGAGCTGCCGCAACGGATGTTCTATATGCGGCAGAACGGAACGGAGCGGACAGGACCGGACGCGCGGAGCGCTTACAGTCGACGTACCTGACACGAACGTGCTTCTTCCTGCTAAAACGGTTTCTGTAAATAAACCCGCGTCCGTCGGGAGCGAGAAAAGAGGGCGGCTTAGTGTCTTTGCGCGATGTTCTTTCAATTCGGGATTTCGTAACAAATTCGCCAGTCGCTCGCGTCCATCCGCGCACCGAACTTTCGCGAAAGCAATCCCGCCGATGAAACTGTTTTTCATCGCGAAAAGGAATGCCGGATTCCGTTTATCGGAAGTGGTGCGCTCGTGGCAAAGATTAATATATTTTTTATTCGCCTCTTTGACACCATTACGCCAATCTTCTCTAAGCCGCTCTCCTCGATAACGCCGGAGATAAAAAAAAAAATTCAAGCGGGAATTAAGCCGGTCCACTCTGCATATCTCGCGAACGTTCGAGATAAAACTCATATCTCCGCGAGAAGATGCGCGGCGAGAGGCGTCATTGTAAATCATTCCGCGTGCGACACAACTGACGTCATCGGTAAACGTTTGTGCTGCCGCGTTAACTGTCGCTAATGGAGAACGAGAGCCGTTGACCCATTGAGAAAAGTCGCGAGTCGAAAAAATGTGTACCGGTGACGGCGTCCCGATTAATGGACTTACATCATTTCTTATTGCATTCACTGGGCGAGAGCGAAATCCTTCCCTCCTTCACGAGGACTCTATAAATGACTAATCTAATCTAATATTAGATACGCGCCGAGCTGCAATTTGCACAACAGAGGTGTGTAGCTATGTGTTTTCTTTAAAAGCGTGCTATCATTGTGTGCTATCGTCTTGCGCGCGGGCAAACATTTGCGTTCGCCATTTGCCCGCTGTCTCTCTTGCTTTCTTCACGCTTCTCCTCACCTTCAAGTGCGCGGGATCTTACGCTCTTACGCGTTCGTGGCTATATGCGCGCGATGAAAAAATATTTTCGATCCAGACGGAGGACCGACGGCGCGGCGGAAAAAGATTATTATCGCGAAATGAGGTGTCCAAGGCTGTCGGTACCAACTGTATTTGCGCGATAACATGTTGTCAGAAGCTGGACGCTGACTCGTAAAGAATTTGCTCCCCAGTTATTTTTGATCCGCCTCATTTATTCGCCGTGAAATTATTCAATGATATTTTGCGAAATGCGAATCGAGAATTATCTCTCTCCTTTTCGCAATCGGTTGAAATATTTTTCTCCGATAAATATTGGAGCTCAGTTACCAATTAAATTTTATTGATTACATTTAATCTCTTTATCAATTTTCCCTAGTTGCCCGGTCGCCGGCTCACCTGGACGCGGACAGGTGTCTATTATTCAAACGGAGTCACGCGAGAGGGGTGCGTAAGACCGACAACACCTGCTTTTTCAATACCTCGACGATTCTAATTAAGCGTCACGGAGAATTTACAGTGTACTTATTTTATTTTTAACCTGAAAGAACAAGATAGCGATCGATAATACGTTTTCTTCAAATTACAGCATTTCTCTCGCGACCGTTAGCGCTTAAAATTCTCGAACAAGATACGCGTTGAACCTTCATCGATTTCACGCACTCCATTTCCTCGCAATAAGCATGTGTATGCGCGCGCTGTTTATTATCGGGTATCTTATCAAACGCCCCGGCCTGGTATCCCGAGCACGAGAGACAGCGAGAGTATCGATCCGACTACGATTTCCAAGAGCGCTGGTTCGCGCGCGTCTGTATTCGCGCGATGAGATTGAACTGCGCAATAAACCGATGACCTACCAGATTTCCAGCGTTGACCTATCAGGCTGCGCTCGTGCAAACCAAGTGACGATATCGCGATATTCAGCGTACGCAGAGCGGGATAACGATAAGATTTCTGCCTCCTCGCAAAGATCCCAGCGTCAACGAAGAAATTCAACGAAACCCGACATCTTAATCGTCGGCTTTAAATTACTCGTCGATGAAATCCGAGGAGGTGTAATTTAAGCAGATTGTGGGTGCCCCGCACGATAGCGACTTGGCCGTTTAATCGTTAATCGCAAGGGTGAACCGCTAAAATTTCAGGTATGAAAGTATTATCCCTCGAATCTCGTTTTATTTACCGCGCAACTCGGCGACTCGAAATTATTCTATTATTTTGTTATTCCGCCGCTCGCTCCGCATTTCTGTGCGCGTTCCCGCTGCGCGAGCCGCTCAATATAGAAATTGCAAGTGGAATACATTACTTCCTCGTGGCCAGACGCGTTAGCAAAGTTCAACGGGACGGCCTAGCGTAATGCGCTTAATTAAAGTTGTTTCAACTCGTTAAGATCATTCACATGAGATGAACAACCCTATAAAACCGCATGCAAGCTTGGCGTCAAATGCAACGGCAGTTTTCAGCTCGGCGCCGAAACCGCGTCCAATTCCTTTTACGCCCGAATTTAATAAGCGCAAGCGTGAACAAAGCGCGAGCATTTGTCACGCGCGAGGAGAAAGGAAAAAAAAGTCAAGTAACGATGAAGCAAAATATTGTAATACAAACGCGGAATCGCCATAAATCTCCGCGCGATGCAGTAGGTCGCAAAAAGGTTAAGGAACCCCTGGCGTTAGACTAAGTTTATGACGGGGAGGAGCGAGGAAAAAAAGATGGAAAGATCTCCGCGCTCGTCTCGGGAGGACCGGTTTTTCGTCCCCGCTTTCTTTTTTAGCAACCCTCTCCATTCTTATCCGCCAGCGTGAAGCTCCGCTCGTACAACTCATCCGGATCGATCTCTCGTGAAACGATAGCCATAATCTTCGACGAGGTCGTTCGTCGTAAGCTAATAATAAGGCTCGATAAACGTTCTTCCCCCCCTCGATGGTGTATGTCTGACATCAAGCAGCGCGCGCGTAACTTTAATGATGACCCCCCCCCCCGCCCCTCCGGTGGGGATGCAAATTCTCACAGCTATCAACTATCGCGATGTCTGTAGAACCAATGCACTTTTTTCCGTAATCTAATAGGACTCTCGATACGACCGCAGTATAAAGCTCGTTAGAAACTGTTTCCTTTTTTTTTACACCGCATCGCGAATTATTATTACTTCGCTATTAAATCCGCGGTCGTTCGCGCTGTAATGAGAAATGGCAGCGGGATCGTTCGCGGGAATCAATGGAATCGCGTCACGTTCCCACCGCCGGTTTCCTCCCCGCTCATTCACCACGCATTTATTACGAATGCTTTTGTTTTGCAGGCATGGCGGGCATAGCGGCCGCCGGTCTCGAGGTGCACGAGGCGGGCCGGGCGTTGCGCGTGCAAACGGAAGCACCGCATCTCGTCTCCATGGGAAGCGGACGACTGTCGACGGCCGTGACTTTGCATCCTCTGCCCGAAGGTTAGATACAATGCTGCGAGCCCGTCCCTTTACTTCATCTTTGCCCCGCACAGCTGCATACAGCTCTCTCGCAGAGATCGGCGTCATTCAATCGCGCGACTCACCCAACGTGTATTTAATCGCGCTAAATTTCGGACGCGCATCCGCATTGAAAAGCGGAAAAGATAAAGAGCGCGCTGAGCGTAGTTAATTCGCTCCTATTCACGCCGCGTTTTCCTCTCGTTTGTGTGAAACGAACGAAACTGAGCCGGTGGCAGATAAGCTCATCGCCACGTAACCGTCGGTGATTCATCCGGTGTTTTAATCCGAGGCTTGAATTGCGTTGTCCAAACTGATAAAGCGTCACGGCGCCAGCGAGATTCGCCGATGAACGCTCTGCTGCAACATTACGCGTGGCAGTGAGGAAAAAAACTCGGGAGAGAAGAAAGCCGAGCGACGTTATATTCATGCTGTGAAAAAAGTGCGGGAGGAGAATCGGTGATAAAATTTGTCTACCGTCAAACGGCTTTGCGTATACATGCGTCGTTTATCAACGAGAAACGACAGACGTCATATCCAGCTAGATTGAAATACCGAGCTGAATGCCTACGGATACAAGAAGTATCGAGACTGTAATATCCGTGACTGGACGAACCCTTCGGTCTCCGTTTTAGTCTTTTATACGCGCCGTACATATGCGAAGGAACGTACACGTGCGGGCGTACGCGGTATATAAATGGTATATAAACGCGCACGCAGGATACATAAACGGCGTAAAGGCTGTTCTCCCGGCGAGCAGGGCCGTTTTAAGAACCCCGCCGGCCCTACATTTCCGTTCGGTGAGAACACGCGACGGCAGCCCTGAAACAATATCGCGGTTCGTAAAAACGGCGAACAGATCAAACAAACGCCGGCGTTAAAGCGTAGCCAGAGTTACTAATCGCGTATCGAAGTTGAAAAAGAAAGAAAAAAAAGAAACGATTCTGAGATACAGTCCGTATGATAATTTGGTTTAGTTTCCAGAGTTCCCTTAAATATAGAGTCGGTGCGTCATGCAACCGAGCGTATTAAAATTATATTGCGTGAGTCAAACTTCTCAGTGCTCCACTTTCGAATGACCCTTACGCTGTTTGGGAAAGCTTCTAAGATTCGAGTTTGATGAAACGAAAAAATAAACAAATGGATTTACACGATCGAGAGGGATGAACAAAGAGGGAGAGAACAATGTGAGGCTGTACACATCTCCGCAGCTGACGCAAATAAACCGCAGGCGAGCGTATATACCTTTTCGTATGTATTACCTGCGTAACGCCAGCACGAAGATAGAACGCGTAGGATGGGATTTGATCGACAGGAAGCTATCTTCCGTTCGCTGTGACAGCCGCGTGTAACGCGACTCCGGCGAAAAGAAAATTTTCTTATAAATCCGTTACATAACTTTAACAAAGTCTATTCAACTTTTTAGAAAGATGGAATAATAAACTGAAGTTGAAAAGAATCTTTTCATGAATTTGAAACGAGCTCGGACGGAAACTTAGCGTCGGACTTAATTGTCGAGGGACTTAATCAACGGTGCCGAAGTCGCGTATCAATTTTTGAAGCATATTTCCTTCGCGTGAAATAGGATTGCCATAATCTTCCTCCGCGCACCTGTCTGCCCGCTCGCCTGCATACACGCCGGAAATACGGCGTCTCCTTGGATTTATGGTCGTGTTTCGTTTTGAAATCACAGTGAACTTTCTCCGATGCGGGACAATGCGCTTACGTAGAAGAATTCGATCTTCGAGACCTCAGTCTCGTAGCTCGCTCGTGACTCAAGCGAATATCCAAAAATTCTCTTGAAAAACATTAGTGATATATCTTGCTTTTCGATCGTCAATTAATTTCATGTGTCCATAATTAATTAACGATGTTGTTCGAGTAATCTCGAAATGGCTGCATCTAATTTAGCCGATGAATAAATATATTGTGGATATTTATTTAACTTGGAATATCGTGAATATTGAGCGTATTTGGAGAAAGAGAGAATTAGTTCACGCTTAAATTGTGCGTCTGGATACCGTCGGACATTTCTATATTTCCACACAACGTGCGCGTTGCGGCCAACTCATTTCCAAAAAGACCGAAAATGCAAGAGAGACAGAGTGCACGACCGCGCTAAAACTAAATATAACTGCAGTCCTTCGTAGAATGCACCACGATTTACCCGCGTCGCGCAGAACGGGGCACGCCTAGTATTATTTTACGGAAACCAGTGCGTGCTATCTGTTGATCTATCGAGAGTCGATTCTCCAGGGCGGTGGAAAGTCGTGCCCGCTCCGTACGCATTTACGATTCTTGTATTAGAATTTTTCTAGGCCGTTACAAAATTTAGACGGTTCTGCTAAATTTATCGTGCGAGCGAGACCGCCGAAGCCGTGCGTTTGATTCAAAGTGCATATTAGTTCGATAATATCTCGCTTTAATTGTTAATCGCTTTAATTTCCGCGTTCGTGCCACCGAAGTTTTCTATCCGCCGAAGAATACATCCGGCCGTTATATCGCCGGCCGCCGTCCGGTCGTTGACATTCCCAGAAGGCTGGAATTAATATTGTAGACCCGCGGAGCTCCATTGCGCCCATCGGAATCGAAGCTTCCGCGAGGCGGTTTCGCGGATGAACTCGAGAATTCAATTATGTCGATACATGTATCCCGATACTCGTGGGAGTTGCTGCCAAAATAAACGTATTTCGGCGCGCGTTACATCGGGAAGTGCGTTACTAAGCCCGCGAGAATTTTGATCGGAATGCATGCGTGTACGTTTCTCCATTCAACCGTGAGACACGCGCGAAATATGTTTAGTCACGCTTCCTGATCTTCGCAGAATTTTTTTTTTTTTATTTTAGATATTATGTTCGAATAACACAGACTTTTTCAGAAGCGAGCCGCCTTCAGCTGTGAATGATTTTAAGCGCAAAATTTTCGCAGCGCTCGATACTTCTCAAATATTTCCCGTCTTCCGAAAGCTCTCTTGTAACAAATAAATTAATTTGTTTCTTTTTTTTTCTCTTGTGCAGGTAAGATCACATTGGGATCAAACCGAGATGCGGATATTTTGGTGGCCGGCACCGGCGTCGAGCCCGTACATTGCGCGATCGAGAACAATAGCGGCGTGGTCACTCTTCATCCCATAAATGGAAACACGTCTGTCGATGGTGTATTGATAAATTCGCCGGTGAAACTCGCGCAAGGTAAGACCTTGGCCTAAATACGAATAACGTAGCCAGTGCATGAACGTTCCTAAAAAGGGCGACGGAGGAGAAGATATTATTTTCATATCAAAAAATAATATTTCGCGAAACGAGTCTAAATGGCGCAACATTATTCCGTTATGAGAGTAAAGACACAATTATCGTGTGAAAATCCGTTTGCTATAAAATAAATTTACGCGGATTATTCTCGTAAGTCGTTAAAAAAAAAAATGTCCGCGAGTTTTGGAGCATCCTGTATGAATACGTCTTGCTTATCGATAAACAGAAAAATGTGCTGAATGTTTCAGGTTGCATGCTATCAATAGGTCGATCGACCTACATGCGCTTCAATCATCCGGCCGAAGCGAAGCATCTACGATCCGTCTTTCCCCACTCGAGAATCTCAATGGCGCCGATAAGCTTCGCCCTGCCTGACAACCAGCCGCAGGAGAATCATCACTTGGAGAGAAAGCCGCCGGTCGCGCCGCGGAAATCACCCAGGAACTCTTGCTCCGACGATGAGATTGGTTTTCTAGGCAAGCTGACCAAGTTCGAAATGCTGTCGAAGCAGAACAGAACCAACTGCGTCTCGCCGAAGGTCTTCCCCGCCGGTGCTCTCACGACAAACGTGCCGGCCGACCAGATCCTTGGTCACTCGCGATCGTCGAGTCTCGTGTCCTTGACGAAATGTTCGGCGAACGGTGGCAGCGCCGGCAACAACGGAAATATCGACTGCGCCTCGCAAAACTCGACGGCTCACCACGACGAGGCTCGCCAACGATCGGACGCGCGACTCGGAACGCCGACTCGGTTGAACGCGACCGATTTGCAGTGCCAGAATCACAATCAGATCAGAATGTACACGGCGGAAACGTACCTGAAGGCGTGCAAGCCGTATTATCGCGAAAGCAACAATAGAAACGCGAGATCGCCGTCTTTTGGAATGGCGGCTCCGAAAATCGTCGCCGCGCAGAGCGGCGATCTAATGTCTCAAAGTATGATCTGCCAGAGTTCAAACGAGTTCGATCATCTTGCCGACCAGAGTTTCGATATGAGCCAGAGTCTGATCGTCACGAAAACCACCACCACGGAGTTTCTACAGCTGGAGAAGTACGGATCGAATCCCAGTATCGACGGAGACGCTAACGCTGGCGTCGCGAGGGGGCCCATCGCTTACGGTTTCGGCTCGAATCCGAATATCAAGCGAATCCAGCCACCGAGCCCGGCGTTCAATCGCAATCCGAGATACAGCGAACAAAAGAGAGTTTACGCGAGGGTTAAGAGCCCTACGCCGAGCGTCGGCAGCAATTGCTCCCTCGAGGAGTTGCGGGAAAGGCAGGCCGACGCGGAGAACAAACGCAGGGAGGCGGAGACGAAGCGGAAACAAGCACAGGAAGAGAGGTTGAGGGAGCAAGAGGTCGAGAGGCAGGAGAAAATGAGACTCGAGGAGATCTTGGCGATGTGCGCTGAATACGAAAGACAAAGCACTGTCGAAAAGCCGAGGCAGCCCAACCGGTGAATATTATATTTAATTCTTCTTCCTTTTATTTATTCAGTCAATCTTCTAATCAATTTTCCTTTTTTTTTTTCAATGAATTTCCTATTTCTTCGGTAATCTTTGTAATCATGCAAAGTAGGTGATTTGAAAAGAAATATGCAGAAATTTATTTCACAAAAGTATGCTCGAGAATTTTTGTCGATCCGTTTGCTTCTTGCAGAGAAAATGCATCAGTGATTGCATAATGAAATATTTTACAGGATTATAACAAACGGATCTCTTCCACGGGACAAGAGAATTCTCGGCTACACCTCTCCTTTCGACAGTCCGAAAAGCCCGTCGAAAAACCAACCGCATTTTTCCTTCGACGCCGGCAAGCAGTGGGGCGGTGCTTCGTACGAGAACGTGTGTGCGCAAAATTCGAAAATCACTTTCCAAAATGGCAGCTCGCCCGTCACTCGCAAGGATCAGTCCGCTCAAGTCGAAAATCATTCGCATGCCGTTCCCGTGGGATCGCCACGCGCCACCACGCCGAACGGTAACAAATCGGCAAAGTACTCTAATGCTCACGGTAGCAGCCACAGTTTCTCGGGCTCGATCTCGCAGGCCCGTAGCGACAATTACGAGAACGTTATCGTCGGCGACAGGAGCAACGGAGGCCACCACGCCGACAGAACGGAGAATTACATGCAGACTGATGACGATACCAAAGGCTCACCGTCCACATACGGCACGATTCGACTGAACGGTACGAAAATTGAATCGAAACGACAAGCGGCGCAGAATGGGAGCGCGAGTATTTACGAAAACATCGTCGTGCTGTCGCCGACGCGGAACAACAGCCAGAATCATTCCATGCCAAAGAAGAACGGCCAATTGTCGAACTCGTGCGAGATGATAGAGAACAAGCTGGCCATATCGAACGATGATCTCCTCGAAGCGATCGAACAGCTGTCCATGCTCTCCAAGTCCAAAGATGTCTGCGTGACGCCTAAGCGAAACAATTCCGAGAAGGACAACGCCAAGTCCAACGAGGCGAAGGCCGACAAGGAGAGGAAGCAGCTGGAGGAGGAAGACAGGAAGAAGTACATAGAGTTCCTGCAGAACGAGAAGCTGCACATTCTCGGCAACATGGACGTTCTGAAAAGGAGCGTCGCCGAAATTGAAATCCAAGAGGAAGAGATCAATAGAGAGGTGATTGCTAATTCTATTGCTTTTGAAATCAATATCGAGCAGATAAATATACAAATTGTGTCGTCGTTATCTCATATACGTCGCATTGCATATTAAATAAATTATTCTCTTTCTTTATCTCCTTCTGGGAATGGAATGCTAAGACGGCCGATTGTAAGTATATCGCCCTATTAGATAATAAGTTATATTTTTCAACATTAAGCACAGTGTCATAATAATGGCGAACTCCAGGATCTCCGTTATCTATGTTTATACTGTCGAGCTAATATTTGGATCCGCTTGTCTCTTCCTGTAGAATCTTTTTAATTTTACAGTATCGGGTTCTCTTGCGATTTCTAATCAGTCTGCGTTCCGCGCGCGATGCTCACGTTATAATCAGTCTCGCGTTTTTATAAACAAAATGATTTTATATATCGCGCGTTTCGCGATCGATCACGCTGCTGATTCTTTTTCTTTTAATATAAATTTGAAAAAAATCGCACAATTGTTCAGAAGATTAAAAATCAACTGCTCGTTTGTTTGGCAGCTCGAATTGGAGAAAGCGCTTTTATCCGCGGAATATGAATCGGAATCCCTGAAGCTCTCGCAGGATGAAGGCGAGAAGATAAGGGTGCAAATGCGAATAAACGATCTGGAGAGAGAAATGGCAGAGGACAACGCGACTCATTCGAATTTACAAGCTGAGGCAAAGCAACGCGTGCAAAGAGCGCAGCAAATTTGCGCTCGATTGGACGAACAATTGAACAGTTGCGCGGATGAGACCGCGCAGCAGGATATTGCCAACAAATTAGCAGCGCAGCAAGACGTCCTCGAGAGCGAAAGGAAATCTTTCGAAGACTTGGAGTTTCATCATCTCGAGGAAGAGGCGAGCAAATTGGCCACGAGAGAAGAGCTGCAGAGGTATACTATAAACGCGCTTATATATTAAAAACGCTAACTTTTCATTGATTTTTCATATCTCCTGAACAATCGTACAACTTTATTCAAGCTTTTACTTCAGATATATCATACATTCGATTGATATTTCGCAGATATTTGAGCGAGCTTACGAGCAAGATCGAAAGCAGAAAATTGCAAATGAGTCACTTGGAATCGCAGCGGTCCGAGGCGAAGAATACGGCGACCAAAGAAGCTAGATGTCTCGAGAGACAGAAACTGGGACATTTGAAGCGATTGGAAGAAGTTAGTGGAATAATATTACTGTGAAAACATTAACTCATTAAAGTCTAATATGAGGTCAAGTGAATGATAAATCGGATTACAAATATAATTCTTATCTTGCAATATATCTGACTTAGTGAGCTAATGTATCGCAACGGTTAATAATTATTCAAACGGTTTTCTCAATGATCACGATAATGACAGGCTCGAAATCGGGTACGAGAAATAAACGAGGAGCTCGACTATCTAGCGCAAAATTCTGCCGAGTGTTCCGACGAGAAACGCTCTCCGAGCAGAGAGGACTTTGACAGAATCTCTAGAGTGACCACTGATTCCCCTATTGTAAACAATCAAGGTAGTTTGGGAAGGAAGACGATTGAGTCCTTGAAAGAAATCGAGAGAAACCGGCAGCTTCACTTAGCCAAACAAGGTACGAATAACCTCGACCTATAGATTTCGCGACACACGGAGTTGAAGGAATAAAAATAAAAATATTAACGCTCTCTAGGGAGTCAAGTAATCTCGGAGGAAAGGCGCAGAGTCGAAGAATTAAAGAGGCGCGTGCAGGATGAAGTCCGCTCGCAGTGGGAAGAGAGAAAAATGAACTGTGCGTCTTTCAACAGCATTGAATCCGGCGAAGAGTCTTCCAGTTATTCCACCGGACCGACAGAATGGTGAGTGAAATTTATTTTTTTCATGTTACAGTTTGTGCAATCGAGAAGCATTATTATTATTTTGCAACACTTTAACCTTATGTACGAAATTCGACAAAGAATTCTGTCGGTACAATTCGCAAAATTTTTATCCACAGTTTTTTCATCGATTTTATCTATGATTTTTTATTGAAAAAAAAAATGTTTAGATACATACAGCGTATATTTTGTATTTGTATTGCACAAACGAATGTTTACTATATCAGGTTTAAATATATGTCATGTAAAAACCGATGCAGACCAGCAAGCGCGATTCGCATCACGAAATATATAGCATATGAGTCGTGCATTATCGCGCAGTATCGCGATGGTCTCCAACGTTGATTGAAGCTTATTACGAAACGTTCCTCATCGGCACGCCTCGGGCATTATATACACTAGCGTATCGTAATTCGAGTGCACCCTACATATTGTGTGAATATCGATGTGAAATCCAAGTTTTGCCAATCAGTGGCACAAGTAGATGAGCGAGCACGCAAGGCGTTCGATGATTAAATGTACTCTCTTGTCTCCCCCCCCCTCCTTTCCTCCCATTTTTCCGGTGATACAAAAGATCTTACAATGTTAGACAAAAAAAAAAAAATTAAATTAAGAGAAATTAATTCCCTTTTAAAAAATTCGGTACAGCGATCCATGCGTTAATCTTATCGTCTTTCATTAGCGTTATTATCGAAAGCACTAAGAGGAATTACTAATCGCGCGTGAGGGCCGCGTATCATGTTGGTTTGATCGGTACACGACTCGAGTCTTCGCTCTCGTGGTAGTAGGCAAGGTAGGCGGGGCGTTATCGCGCGATACGATATCTGCGTGTAGCTGTATGTCTTTCCGTGGCTCTACTTCGCGTTAGCCTGTCGTTTTACGGAAAATTAACCGAAAAATTTACGAGCGTCCGAAACGTCGCAATGATTGTGAAGAAAAAAATAGTGATTCACTCCTGACAAAAGAATTAAAATGTCCATTCGGTGTCTATATCGGAGATGAGTCGAAAATGAACCCGAAAGAAGTGAGCGATATGGTATTGAACGGGGCCAGAGTTACGGGGTGCAATCTGATCACCTTGCTCACTAGTAATCGCTGCTACATCTGCACTAAAGATTGGATCTGCGACAACTGTTATCGTCCTCTGGAAGCTCACACCCGCGATATTCGTCAACGTTATTTGTAAGTTATCTTTCGAGGAAATGTATCGTTTTTTTCTTTTCTTTAAAGCGACGCCGGATAATTTACGATGCAAAAACGACTCATCAAAGGACTACGAGAATTTTGATTCTAAAAATTCAAGCTTACTCAATTTTCTTTAATTCGCTTATATTTTTCGCAGAGAATAAAGTTTAAACCACAAGTCACTTGATATAAATGAGAGATAACGTCTATTTAATCAAACTTAGAGACCGAAATATAATATTGTATTAATTATTACACGTTAGTTATTGCAACATATAATGTTTGCGCTTCGCATTAGAATCAAAACGCGATGAGTCTAATAGCGTGACACGCTGCTAAAAGTAGAGCAACATTCACCTTTTGACCCCTTCACAATACGTCACAATATATCATCGCGTGCGATGCACAGAAACGGTTGCATTCGAAGCTCGCACTGTCTGCGCATACAAAAACTGTCGGTGTATAAAAAATTGACAACTCAGATGAATTATTGCAATGTGCTTAGATCTTACTTTCTTGTTTACATTTTTATATTATCTTCACCTTATTGGAATCTTTCAATCGTGATTCGATAATTTAACAATTAAAAACCGATGTTCAAATTTCTAGTGAGAAAATTTTGCCCATAAATTCGTAAAAAAAAAATATCTTTCCATCGTGTTTATCTTTTCAAACATATTTTATACTCGCCAGGTTGCCGCACGACCAGACTGTTTACGTCAGATCACGATAAACTTTACTCTAATGTAATACGACCACCATAAAAGACCACCATAAACATTTCTTTAAGTAGAATTGTCTTAACTACGGCGGACTGGATCGTTTAAAGTTAATTCGCGACAGCGTACACGCGATGTGGAATGATCTCGTTAAAGTTGAGCTAAAATCTAAAGTCAAACTAGACATTCTTCTGAATGAGAAGCGTACAATGCCGCGTGGAGTTTCATTAGCTCGAGAGCCTCCTTCCCCCCCCCCCCCGCCCGCC